GGAGTTGGTGGTTGCCTGGAATGAGATACCACAGGAGGACATTGACCACCTGATCAGAAGCATGCCTAGGCGCGTTGGAGAATGCGTAGCACATCAGGGTGCATCCACGCATTATTAAAGGTCAAAGGGCTTTAAAGCAGTGCAATCATTTTGAAATTTTTATCACTTACTTATTATGCTTCATTAAGTACTTATACAAAATTTTATTAAAATAAAACCATTTAAACTGGGTGTTCGGATTTATATGTCACTTAGTATACATACCTAATATACCCTGTGTGGTTGATAAATTGATAAAAATGCGGTGTGCTGTTGTGGGATGTAATTCCGACAATCAATCTAAAGCCAAATTTTAGCCAAAAAATGGCTACATCTCACAAAAAGATAAGACAAAGTCAATGTAAAAAGCGCTAGGGTTTGCTAGAAAATGCTCTAGAGGATCTGAAACGACGCTTCAGCGTCCAATACCTGTTAACAAGACGTCTTAATCAAGATGTGACAGAAAACTTTTTCGGAGTAATTAGGGCAAATGATGGTTTTAATGACCATACAACTCCTCTAGAGTTTAAGTATAGAATAAGGTCATATATGTATATGTTGAAGCGAAACGAAGGCTCATACTCAGAGTACCTATTGCGGCGTAGAGTCAGAGGATACTGCAGAGATTCCACTAACCACTAACCGCATCATTAACGAGAATAAACTGAATGCACCTGAAGTATCAGCTGACTATACCGAGCAAGTTTCAGTGGAAGAAGTAGATGAGCTCGAGTATGACTGGCTGGAAAATTTGGCCGGCTTTGGTTGCAATAAATTGCAGGATGAGAGGTTGAAAATTTCCTCAAATGAAACTTATTCATGAATCTTTCATGAATCAAATTGAGAAGCTGAACAAGGTATTCACTACATTCAATGGGGACGGAATAGTGACAAAAAAGCAAAATTTTATAGGTGAACTTCTGTTGAAGACCAGCAACATTGACTGTCCTGAAACAGCTAAAAAAGTATTTTTCAGGTCAAGGATGTTCTTCGGGATCAAAGAACTGAATAAAATTTTGAAAGACCAGAAAAATCGTAGGAAATGGAAAAAAATTGTTGCTTGGACAAGTCATTTCCATTTATTGTTATTGTTAAAAAGAAGATGACTCCATTTTTCTACTTTTTGAGTTGCGTACATTTTCACATCACTTACATGTACTTAGGATGTTCTGTGGAATAATAAATATATATATAATATATATATAAAATAAATATATAATAAAATAAGGTATTATGACAAGAATATGTTAATCCTGCTCCACAGAACATACTAAAATATAGGTAATTTAGAAAAATGGAGTTATCTTGTTTTTACAGTGAAGAGACGTTACGCTCTATTGTGGCGCTAGAAGCCGTTCAAGCTATAGCCTGTGAAATAGGAATTACAGGGTTGAAATCTTTTATTAAAATCCACCATTTTGTTTTGTATAAAATTTCAATGTAGCTAGCGTCACTCGCACCGCTAAGACGAATCCAACGACACCACATTATGTGAAAATCCGTCCAGCCGTTTGACCTGTAGGTGAAAATATGCACGTTATCCATATCAACCCAAATGATAATCAGTTTCCGCGTGACGTCATGCGCGCCGGCGGACGAAAATCGAACAGCGGAGCATACGGCCCTGCGTAAGTCGGGGTTACTGTATATGAGAACATGGCATCAAGTAGGTTGACTCTGCATGTTCCACAAAATGCTGTCATCAGTTCATAAATGTTTTTGTTAGGCCCAAGTAGAACCTCTGACAGAATAGCTACGAACATGGATATCAGAGAAATTATACGGATCAAATCAGTCAAACAGGCCCATAGAATTAGCCCATAGATATGTTTGTCCTGCCCTACCGATAGTACCGTTCATCTGGCGATGTCGCCGAATACACTCGGTAGCACGGCAGTGCTGGTGTACTCAGAGACCAGGTAGGAGCTTTTATTGAAACTATTTCTCTAGCATTCCAAATTTTAAGGGCAAATGTACGGGGAAATCTGTAATGTCTGAAATATGTCTAATAACTGCGTGGAATTGCCGGGGTTGGAAGTGTATAAATAAATCAACGTCAAAAAATTTAGATATACCCTTTCCCACCCTCCATGCCTTATACCTCGAAACGATTTCCAAAAATGAGCAGGAGTCTCTCACAGTCCAATGTTTAGCCCCTACAAAAGAGCCTCTGAAACATCAAAAAAATGAAATTTGAGCGATTTTTATCTTTTCGTTTTTTCCCCTAGCTTTGCTGCCATTAGACCGATTCTCAAAAACAACAAACCTTTTTCCACATTGATAGAGTAGTAACCGTGTGCAAAAATTTTATCAAAATCCAAGCAGTACTTTCCAAGTTATAGATATGACAAGGATTAGCGGACACTGGACAAAGATCGACGGAAATAAGTAAGTAACATTGTTTTTCGTGATGGAGATATATTAACATACAAAAAAACATAATACCTATCTCATTTTTGCCAGTGGCGTGACAAATAAGGTGGGTATATTTTTAATCACGAGATAATATCAATATTTGGCTGGATATAGCGCAAAATAGGAAACATGTGTTTCTGCGTTCATTCCATGAATCATAAACCAATATATTTGACAAAAAAAAAAAAACAAAACAATTTTTACAAAGAAAATGCAGTTTTAAACTAATTAGCGATGGGCGCCACTCATCAACATGAGTATAGTATGTAAAGTACTAAAAATAAAGTACACAAAAAAAATTACATTCGTTTCTTTTTGAGCTTTGAATGATAAGTAAACATTTCGGCAAATATTGCTTTGCTCCGGGGTTCAGGCACTAAATGAATTCGCATTATCTTTTCACATCCCACCAAAGAGATCTACCGCTGAATAAATAAAATAAAAAAATATATTTTAAAAACAAGTTTTTATTTAAGAATTTAAAAATATTTGTTTCCAATTGGAAATATTTAAACCATAATGAAGCTCCTCTATCTCAAGCTTTAAAATGAAGCGTGCTCTTTCCATCCTGCTGTCATAACGTAACACGCTTCTATTTGAAAATCTGAGATGCAGGAGCTTCGTTATAGTTTAGGTAAATATTTCTAATAAAAAATCTGTAGTTCATTTTACGAACAGCTAAATAAAATCTTATGTTTTATTTATTTTTTACTTTTTAGTGTATGTTTATGATGTCAGATAACTAGTTTAATAACGTGTATATAACTTTCATATGTTTCAGTAATAGGACTCCATGAAACATTACTTTATCTGTATTACAGAATTTCGATAGATTTAAATCATATAATGATCGATATTTTGCTGCGACCGAAATATGGAATTTAAAATGACATTATTTGCTTATCGTGTTTCTCTCAGCAAGCTCTTTCATTTGATAGCCATCTCATAGCGGTAACCATGGAAATCATAAATCGCCACTCAGCAGCCGCCGCCATATTGGATATAGCATGACGCCACTTTGCTTATTATGTTCAATCTTCAAGCCCTTTCATTTGGAATGACATCACGTTTCTCGTTAGCTTGGTGCCTATATCATGGAGGTGATTGTAAAAGATGGATATCGCCATTTTGCGGCATCCACCATATTTAATTAAAATTACTCTGCTTCGCTAATTGTATATTGCATTTTGCGGCAGTCGCCATATTGGATTTGAGACAACATCACTTAGCTTTTGTGATTATCTCATCAAGCCCTTTCGTTTGAGACTCATGTCATGAGTTACTATGGAAATGCTGAATCATCATTTTGTACCATCCGCCATATTGCATTAGAAATGGCACCAGTTAATTTATTTTGTATTGTCATGTGTGTACAAAATTTCAGCTCAATTGGTTAAGGTTAACTGGTTCAAAATTCGCTTACATGATTTGTCCAAAACACACACTAATACACTAATACATACTGTAACAAGAATGAGTGATACTACTAGCGACATCTGTTGCGGACCGCGCAAGGCACTCTCCTTTGAGATCGAAGACTGGCCCCGAAGGTTCCGAACTGCCGCTATGTGGCGTACCGATCCCTTCTCGGACTAACCAGTACCTGCGATGCGGAATATACAGGGTGACTTCGAAGTTGAGTCATTTATTTTAACAGTGAGTAGATCTGATCAAAAGAAATGTTTTTTTCCTTTACCATTTTTCTGGTAAAATTAAAGTAACAAAGTTATAGCCCTTTGGAAGTTTGAGTACCGCCCTGTCTCAATAATAATATCATGTACTCGTGTTTGGCAACAACGGATATAATCCGCCTTACCGGTTCATCGCATCGGAAACAAAAAAGCGAAAGAATTTGGAACGACGTTTTTGCAATTAAGTGTTTTATTCAGTTCAGTTATACATACAGTCAGTATCTGTCGGTTAGCGTGTGAATAGTTTCTGTTGCGTGGCTCAAACGAAATAAAAATGGCACATGTTTATGCGGATCGGTTTCCCAATCGAGTGCAACCAACCCCTCGTGCCTTTGTTAATGTAGTACAACGGGCTCGTGAATCAGGTGACTTAAGACCTCACAGGGGACCTCACGATCAAATACAGGTCCGCACTGAAATACTTGTCGGGAGGATACTTTATAAAACAAGGTAAAATTTTTTTTTTAATTTTTTTTTATTTTTACACACATATTTTGGTTTATCTTCCTTCTACAATCATTATCTGAAAATTAATGACTCAACTTCAAAGTCACCCTGTATAAGCCGACGGCCAGGAGAGGGAAGCGAAGTTGAGTGAATGGCGCGACAATAATTCGTAAATAAATAGTCAAACATAAATGTTCCGTTCAGATAAGTTAAAGTCAGTTGTGTTGTGTTTTAAATAAATTAGTGCATTTCTTTTTGTGGAATCGAGTGTTATAATCCGCACCCAAAAGAACCCAGAAAAACGCTACAATATTAACACTAACAGGTAGAGTTAAATAAAAGCTTCTGCTTGTGTCTTTTATTAAAATTATCACGTCTACATGTGGGATTTATTTCGAAACGAGCGACACTTGACACTTAGTAAAAATAAATCGGACGATCAGTGAAGAAAGAATGGTGCGATTGGTTGATTTGAAAATTGCCGATTTAGAAAGAGAGCTGGAGGAAAGAGAGTGCGACATGGCTGGAAAAAAGGCAGAGGTGCAAGAGCGGCTTCGTAAATCCTCGATTGAGGAAGACGAGGACTCGGATAATTTCATTTTTACCGGTGCAGTGGATATTGGCTTAATGCTGCAAAACCTTTCGACCAAGTTAGAAAAAAGGTTCGTGGAAAATTGTGCCAACCTAGAAGGAAGGCTCGTGGAAAATCGTGCCAACCTAGAAGGAAAGCTAGTGGAAAATTGTGCCGATCTTTAAGAAAACTCAGCAAAGTTATAAAATATAGGCTCATTTAAAATTGTGCCAACCTAGAAGGAAAATTCGTGGAAAATTGTGCCAACCTAGAAGGAAAACTCTTTGAGTTACATGAAAGTACAGCCAAATTAGAAGAGAAGTTTTTGGAAAATACTGACAATTTAAAAAAGAATTGGAAGATAAAATTATGGAACAATCTTGCGAGTAGGAAAAACAGATTTTAGAAACTTTGGAAGACAGAATTCAATAAGTGCAAGGCCATCGACGAACGACAGCGTGGACTTCCGTTGGAAAAATCAAATGATTAGGGAGCTTTTGTTGGGTCAGCTGGTCATTTGCGAATGAAACCGCCGCAATTTGATGGTACAACGCCTTGGAATGTCTACCGACGTCAGATTGAGGCAGCCGCGAATGCAAATGGTTGATCATCGACCGAAAAGGCAACTGCACTCACTTTGGCCCTGCGAGGAGATGCTGCAGCTATTCTTCAAAGAATATCACCCGAAGAGCAAAAGGTCTACGAACAGCTAGTAGGATATTTGGAGATGCGATATGGCCAGTCACATTTAGAACATGTGTACCATACTCAACTAAAGAATGGGTTCCAGAAGTCAGGCGAGTCCTTTCAGGAGTTCAAAGTGGATATTGCGCGGTTGGTGCGATTAGCATATCCCGATGGTCAGGAAAGGATAATGGAGCGATTGGCAGTTCAAGCATTCCAGGATGGACTTCATGACAGTGAAATGAGGCAAGCCTTACTACCAGCACATCCACCTAAGCTAGTAGATGCGCTAACTTGGGCCTTAGAAATCGAAATCGCTAAAAAACAAATAAAAGCCAGGTCCGAGTCCGCCAGATGGTACCAGGAGATAGAGAGTTCGAAAAGTCCATCAAGCGCATTGTTAAGGAACTTGATGGTGAACGTCGCCGCCAGAACAGCAAGTTGGAATGTTGGAAACGTGGAAAAATAGGACACGTTAGGAGACGCTGTTTAGAGGATTGTAAGTATTGCCAGCGGGCAGAGGAAGATGCACAAGCATTAAGAACCACTATCGTTAGTGATACTTGGCAAAACGAAGACCTCATTAAAGACCAAGAGGGCGACCCCGATCTCCAAATAATTCTGAACTGGATGAAAGAACAACGCAAACCAGACTGAGAAGAAGTTGCCAAGTATTCCCCTACCATAAAATCATATTGGGCAAAATGGAATTCTCTAGTTATGGACAACGGACTCTTACGGCGTAAAATGGTGGACTATGACGGCAAAGAGGAAAGAAGGCAAATCGTTATCCCCAGATGTCGGATCCCGGGGCTTCTAGAAGAAATCCATTCCGGTGTGTCAGCAGGTCATTTCGGAGTTACAAAAACCCTGGGAAAAGTGAGGGAAAGATTTTACTGGGTCAATAGCAAAGCGGACGAAAAAAGTCTGGTGCAGAAAATGCGTTGTGTGTGCGGCAAGTAATGGACAGCAAAGCAAACCAAAAGCTTAGATTCACCATTACAATGTGGGGAGACCCTTTAAAAGGATAGCTATTGATATGACGGAACCCTTTCCAGAAAGTGAAGCAGGGAATAAATACATCATTGTGGTAACGGATTACTTCAGCAAGTGGGTTGAGGCATACGCTCTGCCAAATCAGGAAGCCTCTACGGTAGAAGATACTTTAGTAAAGGAATGGATCTGTCGAGTTGGTGTATCTTAAGAGTTGCATTCGGACCAAGGGCGCAATTTTGAGTCAGATCTGTTCCAAAATATCTGTCAAATCCTTGGGATTAAGAATACCAGGACTACCGCCTTACACCCGCAGTCAGATGGAATGGTGGAGCGCATGAACACGACCATTAACCGGTATTTGGCTAAGGTAGTCTCTATCCATCAAAGAGACTGGGATAGTTTTCTTCACCTCTTCTAATTGGCTTACCGATCGTCGATTCATAAAAGCACAGGAGAGCTATGGGAAGAGAACTTCGTCTCCCATGCGATCTAAAGTTTGGCTCTCCATCAGGAACAGATATCGCCGGAGAAGACTACATAAGTGAGCTGCGCAGAAGAGTAGACGTCATTCATAGCCAGGTTCATGTTTCAACTCAAGGTGCCAGCGACCGGATGAAGAAAGCTTAAGACGTTAACGCCAAAAACCAGAGGTATCACAACAATGATACGGTTTGGCTTTACGACCCAAAGAGGCGAAAGGGGCAGTCGCCTAAACTTCAATCATCCTGGCCCGGGCCATATAATGTTCTGGAGGCCATCAACGATGTTCTCTACAGGATTCAGAAGACACCACGCGGTAAAGCTCGAATTGTACATTTCAACCGCTTTACCCCTTATGATGGAAACAACGAAGATGCGGCGGCGCGGCAAATCCAACCAGAAACGGACATGACTTTTGACAAATTTATTGCCCACCATGCTAATGGCCATAAGAGTCGGTATAGCGTGACATGTGGGATACAGCAACCTGTTTACCACTTCACCAGAGTATGCCCTGACACACTGTGTGGTCCAAGACTTGCAAATGTCGAGGTGTGTAGCAAACGTCTTTCTCAGGAAACTTGTAATAGTGCACGAGCTGCGTCAATCTAACCTGGAAGTCGGAGAGGTACTCCAGATAACTGAAGAGGGTACCCAACCGAAAGATCTTCTATCTGGTTACCAAGAAAGCTTCGTATCAGAAACCAAATTACGAGGATGTCTGAAGCGCTTTGTGTTCTCTTAGAGAAGTGTTGCTTGCCGAGGACCTGAGAAAACTGGCAATACCTATGCTGGCAAGTGGACTGGACAACCTGGCTGGAAAATCATCCGAAGCATGCTTGAGGTATGGTATGGTATGTTGTCACAGTTCTAGACGGCTACCTTCTGGAAAGAGTGTGTATTGTTATTTCTGCAAGAACTGCTACTGCAAGAAAGGGCAGTCGTGTCGATATCGTCATCTACCGCTAGTCAGATCATTCCGGGACGGAATGGCTTTAGGGAGGGGGCAGTGTAACAAGAATGAGTGATACAACTAGCGACATCTGTTGGGAACCGCACCAGGGTCTCTCCTCCGGTGCGAGACTACTAGCGACATCTGTTGGTGACCGCGCCAGGCACTCTCCTTCGGGATCGGAGACTGACCCCGAGGGTTCTGGACTGCCGCTATGTGGCGTACCGGAACCTTCCGATCTAACGAGTAAATGCGATGCGGAATATATAAGCCGACGAAGTGAATGGCGCGACATAATAATTCGTAAATAGGTAGTCAAAATAGTGGTGTACATAAATGTTCTGTTTAGTTAAGATAAAGTCAGTTGTGTTGTGCTTTAAATAAATAAGTGCATTTCTTTTTGTGGAATCGAGTATTTTAATCCACACCCAGTAGATCCCAGAAAAACGCTACAATATTAACACTAACAGGTAGAGTTAAATAAAAGCTTGTAGCTTGTGTCTTTTATTAAAATTATCACGTCTACGTGTGGGATTTATTTCGAAACGAGCGATTATGAAACAAGAATTTAGGGTCGTATCGTCAGTCGTTCCTCCTTGATTTTCATAGTATTTTCTCTCCCTAAGAAAGGCTTAAGTATTTCTAGATTTCTACTGTTCCGTATTACCGTCAGCGCTCTCCTATTGTGGGGCTATGTTTTCTGTATGAAATGTAAACAATTTCAGGCTGATATAACAGATAATATAATTGTAAATCAAAAGCATGAACAATTTGATGCAAATAGATATTTGTAACAGAACTTCAAAATAGAGCGCTGACAGGGAACAGTAGTAGACAACTATGAAGAGCATAAAAGCGTCGTCCTACAATTATAGGAACGACTGACATCTACGGCCCAGAGTTGAAGAAAATATTTGTTGGAGAAATGGTGAATGCAATCTTCGTCCACCAAAATCTGCGAATTAACAAGGGAATTTTTATTTGAAACCAGACCAAAAACTAACAGTTTACCAAGATGCATTCTTGAAAATCATATTACGATGTGTCAACGACCCAAAACAAATATGAGTCGGATATCTTTTTAACATATTTATATTCGTGATCACGTAAATAATCCAACTTCGATAATGCTTTTGAAACAGCTGTGAATCCAGTCAAAAGTCAAACACTAGCATCGTTGAGATCCTATACCGATGCTCATCTTACAATCTAAAAGAAGGCGCCTCCTCTCACGTTTGCTCGTATAAACACTTCGGAAGACAAACAAAGCTTTTCGACTTGTTCAAACAAATCGGCTGAATATCAAAAAGCGGTTTTAAAATACTTTGAATGTTTTCGGGAAGGGTACAAAGTGACTGTACATACAAACTCGATGTGGTTCACGCATTCGTCGGTTTCTGCTGTTTCTGAGAAGATAGACATTCTCTATTTGTGTATCTATAGACTAGTCAATACATGTCAAAAAGTGGGTTCACTCAATCCATATCAAACCAAACCTTAACATTATCTGCAGTGGCTGATCAAGAATCTCTGGTACAAGAAGCACTGTTATATATTTGAAAAAGGGGGGAGGGGGTAGAGTCAGTGTTTGCCGAGCCCACCGACTTTTCGTTATCTCTACGAAAATGAGACCTTATTTACTGAAATACCGAAAACGTCCTCATTTTCCACGTTCTTTTAAAATAATTGATCCCCGTAAGGCAAACACTTTACTGTGTTCAAATTTTAAGACAAAAACACATTTAAGTTGTTAAGAGTAGTGAATGTACTTGCTTTTGTAACTCCATACTTATTTCTAATGATATGTGTGTAGTTTATTAGTTTCGTCTTATTTTCTAAATGCTTAGAAAGGATGTTTTTATACGCATGTACTTACAAAATGATCCCTCCAACCAAGGCAGTCTTTCAGCTATTAGAGACCCTGAGCACATTAGGATAATGGTGCCCCTATGACCATAGTATAACGCGAATTTGTTAAAATAGACAAAGAACGTACATATGAAAAGTTTAAGCTTTATTTTTATTTCTTTACAGTAACACTAGATATTATGATAATAGATAATAATATAATGTAATCCACACTCAGTAACTAGCATCCACGATTAGTCCTTACACGTACACCTATGCTGATTGAAGAGGTATCCTACTAGATTTTAATTGAGCAAAATTGTTAATCACATCTTCAAAATCTGTGTTTTCGAGCATATCACGTTCTATCGACATAAGTGACGAACTTTCCAATGTCTCTTGAAGCATTTTACTTCTTAATTCATTTTTTATTCTTTTTAATTTGGAGAAGGAACTTTCCCCACTGCAGTTAGTTACCATCATGCTTAAAAAGATTCTCAATGCGATTTCTACATTATGAAAAGGTGTCTTCAATTTTGTTATCTTTCAAAAGATGATGTATTTCCAGTATAGGTACTATTAGAATCTTCATTTTTACTTTGAATTTTCAAGTATTCTGTTAAATGCAGCCATTCAATTTCTAACTCTTTCTCGTTTACGTCTTCATAGTAGATTTCAGCAAATATTTTGCTAATTTAACTTCATGTATAATTTTTTGTTGACCTTTGTCAAGCCAAAAATTTTACAACAGATTAAATTCGTTTGTCCAGTAATCCACTTCTTTTTGATATTGCGATAATAAATCTGTATCTGCTCTACCAACTGTTTTACTTCGTGCCAGATATGTCATCATAGATTGCCTATGCGTTGGGCTATATTCATGGGATAAAATTATTTAATGAATGTGCTTCCAGTCGATACATCCATTTGGAGAGCATAGATTTAAATTTAAAATACTGATTTTTTTTAAGGCGAATACAGCAACAATTTTCCTTCGACGTTTTCATTGTTCTTTAATTTGCGAATAAATAATGTTTTGTTGAAATATCTAGTTACTGATTTATCACCATCTTTGTCGGTTCTGGATGCCACGGGGAAATTTTGAAAATATTCAGGTCTCTTACGAATCAAAATTTCGCGATCATTTTCTGTAAAATTTGCATGAAAATAATCGGCGGGGTCGTGTGATGTCTTCAGGGTTGGAAAATAGTTGTTGTTCCACTGATACAGTTGGAGCTGTTGGTAAAGTCACCGAAGTTGTTGCACTTTCGTCATAGGGTAGGTCGTTTTTTATCACTTTTCCAAAATTGGTAGAAACTGGTGTAGAACATGATGTTACTTCTGATTGATACAACTCATTATTTGGAGAAAATATTGTTCGATTGCTACTTACAGAACTCTCTCCAGTAGAAAAATATGATTTTAATTTTGGTAACTTTTCAATTACTTCCTTCTGGTGTGCAGCTTTTTTTTGTCAGATCCACTAGGATACGACCGTTTTGACATTTTATACAATAATTTAGTGTTCATATTTACACCGAGAATAATCACTTAAAACAGGCAAACGACGATTTAATAAAGAGAGTATTTCACAGAGCATAGTCAGAAACGACTAACGAAACGACGAAACAAACGAAAAGTCATACATAACACCACAGATAAATACAGGGGAATTCCCGATCGTCGAGTGTTGCCAATACTGCGGATCTTTCCGTTTTAATTTTTGTTTATAGAAAATTATTATTGTGATTAGCAATTGACATGAAAACGTTCGTCATGAAATGTTAAATTTTATTTGTACTTCAAAAAAAGTGCTTCAATCGCTATTGCCATTTTGTAGCAAATGCGCATGTCACTAAGATATCTGAGTGTTTGCAAATATTTATTTTAATAATCTATATTACAAATACAAAATATGTCAATTGGTTAATTCAAACTTCGAGCTACAGGCTTCGCTTTTTTTGCTTCATGTGAATGCCGCGACTCACTTCGGTAAGTATTTTTCTTCGCAGGGCCGTCTTTAGGGTGGAGTGAGTGGAGCGGTCGCGAGGCCTTATTCGCACTAACAAATAAGTAAAAAGTCTTGGTTGAATGAAAATAATATAATAATGTACAGATATAGGTGCCTAAAATATCAGTCTGATTACTCTCGCAGTAGGTATGTTAAATTATTGATTAACTACAAAACCCACGAACGAGATAATCTTGACCACAAAAATGCAAAACATCGTTTGATAGTGGCGGCCGGGTCCGGGATGTCAGCCCCCGAACCCCGCGCATGCCGGTGGGTGAGTCATGTTTGCCGGCGCGCTGCCACCACACAGTCACACACCACTGACGGGCTGACGAGCCTGTCACAACATGATCTCCCCGATTCCCCCCTCGACCTATTACTTTAGTGGTAACGTTATTATGTATTAGTTGCATCACGCGCGTATTAGTTGAGAGTATTGTGACTTTGATGTTTCTAAGGCCGAAGCGGTCTGTGGTTGTACTGGCGTCATGTGGAATTTATTGATTATATTTTAGTGTGTGACACAGATTTAAATAATGTCTTGAGAAAGAGACAAATTTTGGAAATTCAAAAGTGGTTATGAAAAGTAGCAAAAAAAGGACAAACGTGAACACTTAAGAATACCAAATAAATAATAGCATGTGCAAGTAATAAGAATATTTTGTAATAATATGTCCTTATTTATGATTGATTATACTTCGGAGTCCAGTCCAAAGATGTTTATTATTTCACAACGTAGTCCGCGCTGTCGTGGTACCAGTCACAAGGTTTTAAAGCAAAATCCCCCTCCCCTCTCTGTTAAGCTCGTGTCCCTGTACATAGCCACGATACACATACACTGAAGATAGGATATGGCGCATGTGGGCGGAGCTTCGTGACGTCACCCGGAGAGTTATCGGTTCGTGGTTACCAGCGGCAGGATTGTCGTAACGTAACTGCAGTTCACGTGTATCGTGGTTAATACTATATAGTGCGATTTGTTGATGTTTTTTGGTGGTTTTGTGACTTGTTGTATTAGTTATGCATACCTTATATACCCTGTGTGGTTGATAAATTGATAAAAATGCGGTGTGCTGTTGTGGGATGTAATTCCGACAATCAATCTAAACGGCATCTTTGCAAAGACATGAAGTTCCACAGTTTTCCTCCAGACCCAAACTTTAACAAAAAAATGGCTACATCTCACAAAAAGATAAGACAAAGTCAATATAAAAAGCGCTAGGGTTTGCTAGAAAATGCTCTAGAGGATCTGAAATGACGCTTCAGCGTCCAATACCTGTTAACAAGACGTCTTAATCAAGATGTGATAGAAAACTTTTTCGGAGTAATTAGGGCAAAAGATGGTCTTCATGACCATACAAGTCCTCTAGAGTTTAAAATAAGGTCATATATTTTGGGGCGAAACGAAGGCGCATACTCAGAGTACCTACTGCAGCGTAGAGTCAAAGGATACTCCAGACATTCCACTAACCACTAACCGAGAATAAACTGAATGCACCTGAAGTATGAGCTGACTATACCGAGCAAGTTTTAGTGGAAGAAATAGATGAGCTCGAGTATGATAGGCTGGAAAATTTGCAGGATGAGAGGTTGAAAAGTTCCTCGAATGAAACTTATTCATGGATAGACCATCTTACTGAGGGTGGATTATCAAAACCTTCCACAACTTTCTTGAATCAAATTGAGAAGCTGAACAAGGTATTCACTACATTCAATGGGGACGGAATAGTGACAAAAAAGCGAAAGAGTAGCAACATTGACTGCCCTGAAAAAGCTAAAAAACTGTTTTTCAGGTCAAGGATGTTCTTCCGAATCAAAGTACTGAATAAAATTTTGAAAGACCAGAAAAATCGTAGGAAATGGAAAAAAATTGTTGCTTGGACTAAGTCATTTCCACTTATTGTTATACCACCACCTTACTGCAAAAAGAAGATTACTCCATTTTTCTACTTTTTGAGTTGCGTACATTTTCACATCACTTACATGTACTTAGGATGTTCTGTAGAATAAGGATAAATGTAGTACAGTATTATGACATGAATATGTTAATCCTGCTCCACAGAACATACTAAAATATAGGTAATTTAGAAAAATGGAGTTATCTTGTTTTTACAGTGAAGAGACGTTACGCTCTATTGTGGCGCTTCAAGCTATAGCCTGTGAAGTAGGAATTACAGGGTTGAAATCTTTTATTAAAATCCACCATTTTGTTATGTATAAAATTTCAATGTAGCTAGTGTCACTCACACCGCTAAGACAAATCCAACGACACCACATTATGTGAAAATCCGTCCAGCCGTTTGACCTGTAGGTGAAAATATGCACGTTGTCCATATCAACCCAAATGATAATCACTCTCCGCGTGACGTCATGCGCGCCGGCTGACGAAAATCGAACAGCGGAGCATACGGCACTGGTATATACCGCTATACTTCCCTCCTACCACCTACAATCATTCGTCTTCTTGTGCTAGACGAGATTCGTCTAGTGGTAGGTGTTATGTGAGTGGTAGCACCGATTCCGATAGGGAAAACAGAAAGCGCAGACTCTCTGGCAGGGTTACCGTTCTCGCTCGGTTTTCTCCAACTTAGAGAATGGTGTAGCGCGAGACCTGAGCGTCTCGTCAATCACCGCCGATGGTCCAAGCACCATACAAAAACCTCATGAAGAGAAACAGGACATGTTGGTCCTGGATAACGACGTGCAGCTACCTGAAGATATATATTGGGCATTTTAGGAGATGACTCAAGTGAGAAACAGACCGATAACCTCAAAGTGCACTCAGTGCTAACCGCTTGATGGTCCAAAATCATCTCAGAGGGACTGTCAAACATAGAGTATAACTCCATAGCCCAAAACTATAAGATCTTGTCCAATATACCGTTGCCAGCGCCTCCAATAATAAATCCGGAAACTAAAAATATCCTTCCAGAAAATATGCAAAGAAAGACAATGAGAGTTTCAGTCAAAGCTCGGAGCGGGTATTTCAGCACTGGCAAAAGGTATGTATAGCATTCTGTCATGCACAGCCTAGCATTTATAAAGATGCACTCCTACCCAGTCTATCAGATTCAGGGCGCATTTTATCTAGTTTGTTCCATGACTCGACGATGGCACGACGCATGTTTACATACCCCTACATGAACCAAAGTATTAGGGAGTTGTTAGAAAATCCATCCTCAACGAACCTGTCTTTCGGATTAGATCTCAGCGATGTCGTTAAGGCAGCAAAGTCGATACGGTCTACAAGCAAAGATACTCAGCCCAGCCTTCATCCTCAAATCAGAGATCTGCTGTGCCTATGAGCTGTAATCGATCAGGAAAGAAAAGGGGGGGACACGGAAGGAGTGCCTCCTACCACGTGCCTGTAAACCGGAGTCGCCTAGCCCGTCGCCCGAGGGCGACATGGCTTCAGAAGGGCAGGCCTCTCGAGAAACAAATCTAATGGACGGATACAAGAGGAGGAACTAAATAAGGTAAGTTATACTGCTAATAATCATTTTTCAGGTAGACTTGCACAGTTTTATGAAAATTGCACTACCTTAACCCAAAATATTCTACAGTGGATTAAGGGTTACAGAATAAGCAATATTCCCAAACAAAGGAATATATCCAGATTCTCTTTCTCTCTTGCAGAAAAGCACCTAATAAACGGCGGAATAGCGAGCCTACGGCTAAACTTCTATGCGCTCCCACCGGTTTCCGTAAGTTTGAGAGTGATACAATAAATAATAACTGAAAACGCAAATGGAGTAGTAGTGGTTTCTTTTTGGCCATCCCAAGCATGGTATCTACATTTCATTAGGTTTTACAGAGGAGAACTTCTTTTCTTTGAGCCGCATACTGGCATATTGATTTATCCTTTCAGCAACGGAAGACATCCTTTAGCGTAGCTGGTAGCCTGACTATCCAGCAAGCCTTAAGGATGCAGGGTGTTCTCGAGTGTGTTGAAACTACACTGCAATCCTTGTCCGAAGCTAACATAAAACAATACGCAGTCTCTTATAAGCTTTGGTGGGAGTTTTGCAAAGCTCAGGATATTTTGCCATTCAATGATATGAATGAATGTCTTCTCGGCTCCTTCAATTCTCACAGATAATATGAATCCCACCAAACGCATAGGACTCAAGTTGGCGTTGATAGTACCTGATTTTTGACAGAGTGTCGCCTCTGGTAGTACTCTGTGACCAGGCAGTATGGTTTACAAGCACCAGCGAACCACAGGAGACCTCCTATCTTACGTCACGCAATTGTGGAGTAAACTCATCCAGTCTTATGGTGAGGCTCATGTCGTTGCTCTTGATATCACGAAAGCGTCCGATCAGCTGTGGCACGCTACCCTCTTATGCCAGCTTCCTTCCTATCTCCTCCCAGAAAAGCTTTGCAGATGGGTGGCTGACTTTCTCTATAGCTGCAAGATATCAGTCATAATTGACGGGTTCTCCTCTTCATCCCACAACGTCAACGCGGGTGTTCCTCAGCGATCGGCCTTGGCTCCGACACTGTTCCTCTTACATATCAACGACCTTCTTTCCTGCACGATCAACCCAATCCACAGCTTCGCTGATGACAGCACTCTACATGCAGGAATTGAGAGTGACACGCCGATCTCTGCCACTCAGCTGGAAAAAAGGAGACTAGCAACGACTTCCTTTTTGAAGAGAATCCTGGAGGTTATCGCTGCTTGGGGACGCAACAATCTTGTACAGTTTAATACTTCCAAAACACAGTACTGTACCTTGACGAGTATCCTAGCGCTCATCCGGTTTCAAAGAATGGCGAGTTCTGTCAAAGAGCCGTTGATTTCGGCTGATCGGAGTCCACATCACCGAGGACTTGATCTGGCACGAACACATCTCGTCAATAGCGGCAGCTGCTGGGAAAAAGCTAGGTAAGTTGTTTAGGGCCAAGAAGTACTGCATGACCTTCTCACTCTGTACAAGGCCCAGATAAGGCCTAGCCTCGAGTATTGCTTACACATTTGGGGTGCTGCCGCCCCGACTACATTATTCATGCTCGAAGCTGTCCAGAGGAGGGCTGTCCGACTGATCGATGCCTCTTCTCTAAAACACAGTCTCGGAACCCTGTCGCACCGGCGGGCCGTCGGCGATCTAGCTCTCTTCTACCGCTACACCAACGGGCTTTGCTCCATAGAGCTCTCTTCCATGATGACAGGCCCGCCTAACCGTGCCGAACTTCGTACATCCAGAACTGGTCGATACGACCGCTTCTTTGTCCAGAGGGTGTCGAGATTGTGGAGGATGCTTTTACCGGTTCTAATAACCTTAGGCAGTTCAAAAATCGGAAAAACAAAATTTCTTTGGTACCATCATAGCAGCGCGGGGTCCCGGCATTTAGACGTCTGCCTGCGCGGTTGCTTTGGTATAAAAAAAATCGTTTTGCAGGTGACTAGTTTTGTAAAATACTGATAGCGGCTCTTGTTTTTTAACTTTTATTTCCATAAAATCGGTACATTTTATAGGATCCCCTGTATATGAGGTTCTTATAGGTAGATAAAATTGTCAGTTCTTGAGAAATTTTGAAAGACGCGCTGAAGTTCGTGCACAATGTACGGCTGATAATGTCTTGCCAGGTGAATAACTGGAGGCAGTTGGGCAGGAATAAACATTTCAAAATAGCATATTGATTTATCTTCTATATTCTAAGTTTAAGCTACAGCATATAAAAGCTAAACTATCAGGGTACTCGCCGAGACATAAACAGATTTATTGAATCGTATAGAATAGAGGTCATGACAAGTTAAAAAGATAGATATGTCACAGGGTGTACCCATAGTGATAAAATTAAAACTACAATTTTACGAACTAGCGTAATTTATATAAGTAAGCTATACGCTGGAAAATGATATTTATATTTTAAAATTTCACAAATTGGCGTAACTTGAGTTAAGCTCCCTTGTGAAATTCAATTTCCTATGAAAATGAGATAAGTCTAATATTATTTTTCTATAACTTTGAAGGTCTTAGAAACTGACTTATGCCACTTCGTGATATTGAATAGCAACCTTTTTTAAGTAATAAAATCGACTTAACTCAATTTTCGTATTTTCTGAGATACGCCACTTCGTGATATTGGCGACGATAAATGTTAATTCACATTCCGCAAGACCAATAGTTGTGAAATGTATGAAAGGAATGCACACACTCTAAATAAATACATATTTGTATATATTCCTCGATTTTCTGTTCTATAAAAAAATAACGGAACTGCCTCGTACAATCGTTATTTCCTAACAAGAATTTTGCTCATTTGATGTCGCTCCGCATATCTGAAGAAGTCATCAGCATTATCAAAAGTTCATTAGAATAAATAAATCGTATTTTCCCGACGCTTTAGACCAGTCACTATGGTATAAATACTTATGGTGAAGTCAGTAGATGAGAGTGTCCAAAAGCGGACCCCCATATCATAACTAATTTTAAAAATATGAAAAAAACCATGCAACCACCACGGCACAAATTGTAACCAGACATTATTTTAAAAAAATGTCAAAAAACATAACAACATAAATAACATTAAAATTGTCAGTCACCCATTTAGATTTTATTCTTTAGCAACGATACAGCATAGATACGTTTAAAATAGATATACACAATTTTTTCAATTGCCTGGTGACAAAAAAATCTCAGACGTACGCTTTTTCCTCCATCCTCCATTTTCAAAAAGGGATTTTAAATCAATAGAGTATTTAGACAACTGAAAGGTTTGTGCGACTAAAACCAAAAACTTGTTTATCCAATAAGATTTAAATCAAACATCTAAAAGCACTAATTGCATGAGAAAGACGGATTTGTGTTCTTACCACTTGAGTAAATATACATATAGGTACAAAGGCTCGTTTGCAAATATCGATGAATAATAATGAACACTACAGCACTGTGTAAAAACGTTTTCCGATATCAAAACACATAATCGTTGATGAACACATAACGTGACGCGAGCTGCGCGTGTACTCCACTACGGTGTGGTAAATACCTAAACTACTATTTACACTTGGTAATAATGGTGTTTTGGATGATGCAAAGACAATGAGGCCACTTTTCTCTAGTAAGAAATAAGTACGAGTAGATAAGGAATTTCTACTGTAAAAGCTACAGAATTTATTTTACATGTTTCACAACTGGGAATGAGCGTTTTTTTTAAATAACTTGTGGAAATAGTAATTATAGAGAAATTGGACAAACTAAGTTGACATCAGAAATCATGCAGTTTTTATTCTCTAATATATTCCATCTATTTGAGTGGCGAATAATTTATAAATAATTATTTATAACCATCATGGGATATTACACGATCGTTTATAGCATCATAAATGTATTAAGACCATTTCATGCAAATGCCAGGGTATCATTTAACGAAATATTTTCTAAGAAGTTCGGAATATAACTAATTTCACAGGATATTTTGTGTCTAATTTCAATGTTTAAAAATGTTAAAATATTAATTAATGGTTGCTCATTAATTCTTGTTGAACTTATGGGGCTTCCCATGGAACTGTTTTGACCGGGCTACCTTTCAGCTTGATTACTAATTGCATCTAGTCTTTTCAGGTTTCAGTAATTGCTCAGTTTAACATCAGACGTGTAGTTCGAAGCACACAGTCATGACTTTGCGATGGTTTCGCTTAAATCAAGCGTGTGATCAAATGAACGCGATCGTTTGTTTGTGTCTCTTGTTTTTCGTGACCTGGGTGAAGTGTCAAGGTGAGACTGTTAGTAAAATATCAAGATTTGTTTGTTTGCAAAGATTGGTTTTGTTTCCAAACTATTGCTAACGAGTTATAAATCTGCACACTGCTTGAAAACTATAAGTGAAAAATGCAATGTTAACCTTGATGTAAGCAAGATATTATTTAAAGCAGTAAATAATTTAAATGGGCTGTCCATATAGAATACAATCAAAGTATTAAGTCCCATTAAGAATTTTAGAAATTTTCATTATGAGAAAGCTAATAAAAGTATTGATAATAAGCAAAATTACACTTTAACATTTGCGTGCGAATAAGTGGGTGTTCCAAAAATATTTGTAAAATCAGAATATTTACTTTTATTTCTCATAAAATGTTTTTTGATGATAATTCGTCATAACAACATCATGCAACTATTTTTCATGAAATTGTTTGATGGTGTCTTGCATGTCTGGCAATTTTCCTCATTCATTAAAAATCAACAAGTACTGATGAATCTGGGTGTATTAATTATCGAAATGATGGAATAGAGTAAATGAGATAAAGTTTGCGTGTTTCTTTTAACTTTCGGGAAAATGCATTCCTAAGCACTGTGTT